GATTTGATGGCGGCTTCGAACAGTCATTCGTAGTAGAATACAGGTAAATCAAGTTGAGCAGTCATTAAAGTTCAGGATGACGGTTGGTTTATGATGATCGAAGCCCATGGCGAATCGATCAGCTCAATTCAGTTGATCTGAAATGTTCAATTTTAGTGTATTCCCCTATAGGGGAGGTAAAATCCTACAACAAATGAGCTGATCAATCGGCTTAGACAATTCCTATAAAATGACCTGAGCAGAGCTCTTACCACTCCCATCGTGCTCTCTGGATATTGGAAAATAAATCCCGTCAGTTCAGACTTGAATAATATTCGTCGTTTTTCAGAAACGTTAATCCCTTCACGGAAACCTTCGGAAAAGAGGACGTTTCTACAGTAGAAGTCAAGAATACGTCAAAAGTTGAACATATTGAGGTTCGGATTAGAGCCCTCTATTAACCTTTTTAGTTGTAATGGCAAACGATTAGTTTATTCAGGATGATGGAACGGCCTCATGGTATTTAAGTTTCAACCTGACCGGTCTTAATCCGCTTTCATCCTACTACTTACGAATTCGTGCGAAAAACAAGAAAGTATGTTTTATAACACTTACAGTACCCTTACCGTACTATGATACATTTGATTTCAGGGATTTTCGGAATTTTCACCGTTAGTAATTGCAACAACAAATGACGTAACAGAAGATCCCAATATGTTGGCTCCCTCTTTTCTCAGCTTCGATCTCATGCGCAAGTCCATTGTAGTGGAAGTGAGTTGACTGTTTTTTTTTCTGTCTATTAGATTACTAAATTGAAGTTACTCGAGTTAAAGTCTTGAATACTAAGGGTGAATTAGAGTTGAGCGTCTTCAACGAACGGAGACGCTCTCTTCATGAAAAATGCATTAGGGAATCTTAATGGGCCTGAATGTCAATGTTGGCGGTTTATCATTAGTGTGCGCTGAATAAGTAGGGGGGTACTGAAGGAAGGCCTTGGCTTTTACAGAATTATAAAACTGAATATTAAATATCAATAATGAATTCCCTTGAAATCGCGTAGAACAAATTCACCGCACTAAGTGAAGGTGTGCTATAGCCATATTATTTATTAAACTTGGTAAAAAGTTACACTTGACTCGGAATATTGCAAACAAAAGCTCCCGGTTCTCCGGACCCCTTCCTTTTTATGTTTTATTTGTTATGTAATTGTTTATTCTATCAATCAAATCGGTCTCTGCTGAGCCACGATCCATGACGGGGCTATGTATGTATGTAGAGAAGAAAATAAAATTTTTAATGGTAAAAAGTAACGAAAGTTCGAAAGTATCATCCTTAATTACTTGATAGCTTTGCCGTGCGCTCAGTGCCCGATTTCCGAGAGCACATTTGACTTGAACTTTGATTCCATATGGCCTTCATACTGCTCTAACTCGTCCATCAATCGTTTCCTCTTCCCCTTCCGCTTTCCAATTCCAATCCCGAAGTAATATGGTATAATTTCGATCTGAACACTGAAAGGGAAGGGGTTGAGCAAAAAGTTTTTGGTGGTCTTTCAGCTTTTGATCAGGTCATAAAAACTCGTCTGATGGCATATATTACCGTAGTATTTTTTCGCAGTAGCTAGTGATAATTCCCTATTCAAGTGATAATTTCCGCTATTCATTCGACTGTTTTGAATTGCTTTGCAGTAAATACCATAATTTATGATTCTCAGTTTTTGACGACCATTTTCATGTCTGTTTCACTTTAACTTTCTCCAATAATTTCCTTCCGAAAAGTTATCATTTATGAGTGATAATATTTTTTAATACTGACCATTACAATGCGATCTTATTCCCTCCATAAAACATTTGGCCCTCCAACTGAGCCTGATTCTTCCACCTTAAAATTCGAGATGTGTGCTGGTGCTATGGGGGCTAATGAGACCCATATGGCATACAGTTTTTCCAACGAATGCGCCGTTTTAATGCGTTTCCAGGATTTTTATGAATACACAGCATTGCGGGCGATTTTTCCCTGCCTTGTCAAACCCATGTTTATGGGCTAATAGCCCAAAGCTTGTGCGTACTGTTATGGGTTCAAGCCCTCTTTGAAGCTAAGCGATTTGCCAACAGCTCGGCTCTTTTGTCATATGTTTCTTGCTATTTGATCAGATGCGACGTTTGTACGTAAGCAGCGGAAAAAAAGTTGAATAAATACAAGTACTCCGAAGTGATGACGTCAGTAAGAGTATAACCAGTATCAAAAGTTACTGATTCACTTGTGGCCCCCGTAAAGTCTTCAGTAATCTCTGTCACGAACCATTTTAATCAGTGAACCCTCTTCATTTGAAGGATTCAAAGATGAACGTTATTCACATGCGAAGCCTCCTAAGTTCTGACCAGCAACTCACCTTGGGTTGGCTGGAAACCTCAGAATTCTGGTCCAAAGGGTGTAACGAAAGAGAGCGGAAAAAACCACGAAAAAAAAAANGTAAGAAGATCGCATCCAGTCCGAGCATCGTGTCGGTATTTAGACTTACTTGTAGACTTAAGTAAACTGACAGTATAAAGGAGAAAGTGTAATCCAAGAGTAGCTTTATTACTGTAGGAACTCGTCGGAGTGTCTGATTCGACAGGTTACGCTCCGTTCATAAATCACTGAATGTTTCTGTTCCAGCCCCGACCACCTCCAGATGACTGCACACTACTGTATGTATCCTCTGGTGACACATGGCGTTCAGCCGGATGTTTTTCGCAGGATCAGCCTATTTCCGATCTTGTCGGTGGGGCATTCTTCAGAGCTCGGTTCTGCTCAAGGGAGCACGCTCTTCGTTGCTCAAAAATGTCCCATATACTCGGTAAGTCGGCTCGTTGATCTTTTTCATTTGGAAGATTGTAAAATAAGGCTCGTCTTCAGAAGCAAGTTCAATCGGAAGCCCATGGCGATTGGCTCTGGTAGTACCTGCTGCGGTACTGGCACTACTAGTTATCATCGTATGCGTTCTACTAGTTGTCTGCTGTCGATCGCGTTCTCCGTCTAAAGGCAATAAAAAGAGGTACGCAATGAGCTACCAGCTCATAGTGATTAGTAAGTAATTCACTTGCATTCCCAAGATGGACTATCTTTGCAGGGTCAAAGAGTTCTCTGTGATGCCGCAAACGGAAACGAAAAATACGGTTGTACACGGATCCCAAGCCGACAGTGGCGTTTTCACTTTGGACTCGAACAAACTCAAATCAGCCATACCTACGCATAATTACTCCAGGTACACTGTCTCTACTTTCTCTCATAAAGTAGTAATTGTGAACTGAAAACAAGTTACTATGTTTGGCTACATCTCCAAGTAGCTCAGATATTATAAAGGTAATAGCTCCCTAGCAAGTTTTGTAGACCATACATCATCGAATTGCTTCTGCGATTTTTGATGTTTGTAGAATCGATGGCGCATACTAGGGATTCACCGTCACTTAATACTTCACGTGATAACATTAACAGCAGTAAATTTATGCAACATCAATGATCATTCAAAAACCTTTTTTTTTTTGAGGTTGCTGGTTTTCTCTTGGATTTCTCTTAATTTCTTTTTTTAGTGACGAAACAGCTGCTGAGAATTGGACCGATGAACAGGGCGATCTATCAAGTGATCACTATCAGAACGATTCCAAGCATGGCTTGTTCCATGGTATGTTGTGTCAAGGGCCTGTGTAAAGGACCAATATCTATCCGTAAATTTACTTACTGTCATGAATTACAGGTAATGAATTGAATCATGAGAATAGCTGTTCTGGTACTGAAGATGAAAGTGGATGTCGTGTAATGCGTGAAATTATCGTCTAACGTCGAGCTTCACACACACAAGCTAGCTAGCTAGCCAGCAGCCATCCCAGTCAGTCAGTCAGCCAGCCACCGTCGTCGGTCTCGTCGTCGTCGTCGGCTCTTATGTCGTCGTATCGACCGAAACCCTTCTCGGGCTGTCAGCAGCGGTCAACGACTACGACGCTCTTCTTTGCTGACTTCCGCCCCAATACCGCACACACATACACATACACACATACACACACATCCACACACACACCCTCAGACACACACACACACACACGACGCTTCATTAGTTCTCGTCGAACTGACTGCTTGACTGACTACGGCACGGCAAAATTCTTCTCGATTGCGGGTATTCACAGCGATGTCTGCTTCTATCTCTTCTAGTCTCAGCAACTCGCTCGCTCACTTTTTTTCTGTTCGTTCGTTCATCTTCTCCTACTCGCTCTCTCCCTCACTTAATATTTATGACTTACGTAACACGACGACGGTTTTTCATTGTAATAGCGTATCATGATAATGTTATGTTTGCTCAAGGCTCTCTCGGGTGGCTTTGCTTCGATTTTATCCGTTTAACTTCATTCATCCGCTCACTCACTCTATTTCTTTGTATTTATTCTATAAATAACTTAATTCCCCTCATATTTCACCGCTTTTCACTACCTGTTTGTCATTCGTTCGTCTGTTCGTTCATTCGTTCATTCATTCGCCACCCAAGAGGCCTTTGTTGTCGGTGCTCGGCTTTTTCCCGATTGATCTCTCAGTGTCACATCATTCATTCATTTCACTATGAACTATTGACATGATGAAACATTCAGTGTTGTTTTCTTTCTTGTCAAATATATTTATAAAAAATATTGCAATTTTATTCTACTATTATTAATTATGTATATGTTGTGTGTAGGTATATGATAGTATGTTAAATTGTAAATGTTGGTGGAACTCACTCCAAGATATATGAAATTTTGTGCTGAAATGAATCTGCATTTTCACATGGATAACAACCTTATTTTACCCAGTAAACGCTACTTTCGTTAGCACAGGCTAATGAGGGCATATTTGACAGCATTAGCTGAAAGCCGTTGGACAACATTAATGAATCTGAGCCTTTTTTACAAAAAAACCCTCTCATATTCTCATTAGTCGATATTGTAAAGTTTTTACCGTCAGCCCTGATGCTGGCGATTTTCGCTCAGACCCGAGCCTCAGACTTTTTACGCGATCAACAGAATCATAATGGGGCTAATGGTCACAGAAAGGGAGTGTTTCACTCAGCGTCTCCCACTCCTACTCCACCTCCCCCTTCCCCCTTCCCACCCCTTGTTCGTCGTCATCCTATGTGTTGTTTTCCCCCACTCGGTGTCGGTATACCGGCCTAGAGGTGATGATCAAGTAAGATTTTACTGTTAGATTACTGTTGTTTCATGAATACCCTTAAATAAACTGCCCAGGTTGGCCCTGATCGATTTACCCAAGTCACTCACCCCAGGTTCCGCTAGGTTCGTGTGCTATGCCAGCTGCTGGCTGTGCTGTGTGTCTCTGTCCTCGGAGAGCTGTTTCAGTGTAACCAAGCTCTATTTGACCGGTTCGCTGACTACGCAAACTTTTTGACGGGACGAGAGTACCGCCACTCACAAATCTATTATGTTCCAAAGGCAACCAACTTCTCTGCCTACTTCTTTCTTTACTGCTTACTGGATCAGCTTCAGTAAGTACAATGCGTGTCATGTTTCGTTACGAATTGAAACCCGTCAACCTACTGACTCTGAACTCTGTTGCCAGAATTTTTTCTTTAAATTTCCTATGTCATGACTTATTAATGTCGTTGTCGTAGTTAACAACAAACTAGTAATACTGGTTTCATCAAACTTTTTCATCTGTGATCACTGGAAAACGATAAAGTACAGAAAATGTGGAATGAGAAATGTATCGTTGATCTCGTGTACACATATCTCCAGCCAGGGTTTAACGGCCATCACTAATGACACTACTCGTCGTGGTCCCATCAATTTCCGCTTACCCCCCTTCTCATCCAATTTTCGATGCAGTCAATTGTGGCACCCCAACATTGATCGACGACTTATGTATGTATGGCCATGCTAACGTGGTTTTTCGCCTTCCCATCATCTGGTCCAGCCTTTCGGACGGTGACAGACACGAAATTCCTGGTCAAAAAGAGATTTTCCTAGGAAAAAGAGTTCGTGACTGGTTTTGGTAATGTAGGAGGTCTACAGCTTCCCATGAAAGTTTTTTGTTGCAGCAGCAAAAACCATCTATCACGAATCGTCTTCTCTCGACTTACATTCCTGTGTAGTCAGCAATACCCTAACCGGTTACATTTTACAATCTGGAAACTTGCCCAGCCCTCAAAAACTGCGTTCGTTCAGTAGAACGTGAAAAACTTTTCAGTTTCAATTCAGTTCAACAACTTTTTTCCTCGATAGTGAGCTGAAACCACCCACTCTTAATTGTCTTCGCAAAAACAGCGGCACCAAACGATTCAATTACTAGTAGATTCAATTACTGCGGACCATTTTTAGATCTATTAACTTCATAAGCAGTATATGTAGTTGTTTAGTATGCATAGTATTCATTTCATATGGAATTCATTATCGGTTGCAGTGAAAACCGCATCCAAACACCTGCCATGATTACTTGATAGTAGCATTACTGCATAGTAAAGTGTAGTGTGGCTTCTTTTAAAACTAGATGGATATGGTAAAGAATGGCATGATTAGGTATCTGTGAAGCGATCACAAAGTCCAGGGTTCTTTAACGTTTCCCTCTCTACTTTTCTGGGTTTCTGGGTAAGATTTGTGGGCAAACCCAGAGGAGTCTGGAGTGGAATCGATTTACCTCGTGAAACCGATAATCCTGTAGTTTTGTTCAGTAAAACGTGACCGAACAAAAATCGGCCTTGCCTGCAGTTGACGTGCAATTCTGACGAAAACACAAGGCTGTCGTCAATGTATTAGTTATATATCAACATTTGCTTGTTACACTGCTGAGAACGACGCGCCTGTGAACGTTCATGAAATGAGTCTGGAGATGACTTTTTTAAGCGTTTCAACTGTTTTATTACTGATAAAATCTCAGAAACTACCAAAATGTATCATATAGTCAGGTTGCTAGGTGATTTCTCCCCCTAGAGGCAATCAACCTAGATCCACCGAGAGAGAGGAGCTCCAGTTCACGGAACCTCGGTTCTCAGCTGTCTGCAACGTGAGATATACAACAAGTACAGCTTGAGTGCTCGGAAGTTATGGGAGCTGTAAATTGTGTAATGTTGCTTGAAAATGTACCTCTGTAATCCACTGTGCCACAAAGCTGTTTTAAAATTGTTAAATCAGCCTTCGCACACAATCTTGTAACGTTTCTCATCAAAGCAATTGTTCGTTCGATTCTGATGTTGGAAAAAGAAATTCTGCTAAAATTGATCCTATTTGTATATATTTTGAGTAACTTTTGGAATTTTTTTTTGGAAAAACTTTTTTTCCATTTAAAATGCCACTCTAATAGGTAAAACATCCTCGGACTTAAATTCCCGTGGATACTTCACTATTATTGAGTTAGCCAGAATACTCAAAAGTATACTTCATGATAAAATTGTTTTCAAAATTTCGCGATCATCTTGTTTTTCAAAATATTTATGTTTTATTATTTTATACCTTGGGCTTGTTATATCTGCTGAAAATACCGTTTATGACTTACAGAACGATAATCCGGGGCTGTAGGCAATGATAACAAACTTTCTGAAGAGTACCCTCAGAATGTTCTTTGTATAGTTCTGGCGAATTGACCATTATTCTCTGAGCAGGTGCAACAGAGATGTTTCAGACCACCTACATACATGCATATTTCATTACTAAACAGTAAAAAATAACATTTATTTCCGGGCTGTTAAAAGACGGGACATGCGAGGTGATGTCAAGCAGTTGGATGCACCTAGAATTTTCGCTTCTTGCCAAATCGATAGGGATTATTCTGTGACGACTGCGGACTAACCCCGTCGGATTCCCATAACTTCCCTGTACTTGTTAGTACCAACTCCTTCAGCATTCCATCCCCTTGCTGTGGAAGGCTCATTTTTTTTGGATTTGTCCAGGCCAAGAAAGGAGTAATGCACATCCTCACGTGAATGTGAAAATCAATCCTCGCGGCTGATACCTCATAGTCGGAAGAACTTCGAGATCATTGGCACAGAGCTAAAGCTAAGCACTAGTCCAATATTTCCAGTCATATTCCAATAGATAGTATCTTTTGACCGGAATACTTT